AAAAGATAAACTTAAGCAGATTTATAGTTCGCCGTTCAAGCAAGAACTGGTACGATAAGAATCATTCATCATATGAATATAGTTAATGAATATACACCTGAACTGAACACCAGAAATAAGCGAACATTTGTGAGTATATTATGAATGAACTATAAGTACATTAAACAACAGAGCAAGGTTTCTTCCTCATTGGACACCCACATCATCACAAATCCGACGTTTCACTCCCAGAGAACGTGTGATACAACAGATCACAACCAAAAAAAATTTCATTTTCTTCCCTCTAGATTACCCATTATTCGCTTATTTTCATTCTTGATCTTATTTTTTCTGGTAGATGGCGCAAAACTCCTACAAACTGATCAAGTTCGACGGTGAGTCGGTATTTAGATGAACAAACAGGGTAGAATCTTTATTCAAGGAATGTATACATAAACAACAATTGGAATAACTGAGTTACTCAGTGATAATCAGGCAACATGCGTAACAGTAGTTCAATTTCCGAGGACATGGAACAGTTGGAGTTGGGTAATAAACATGCGATTCATGGGTCCAGAGACAGATAAGGAAATATGGCAGATTTCCAACCTGAGATCTTCTATAATAAGGTGATATGAAAACGAGTAACAAAAGACTGAATAAACCTTCACGATCTTTTGGAACTCGGAACAGCGTGAGAGAATCCGAAGAACACTCTTTGTACAGCTCGATTTCTTTCTTCGATGTTTGCATTATTAACCTTAGAAAAAAATTATTCTAAGATCGATGAATGTAGTTAATCACTTTGCACTTGTTATAGGATTCTCTTTAGTTTTTCTTCTTTTGACAGCTAGAGGACGAAATTGTCCATTGCAGCATTCTCCACCAAGAATATCAACGTTGTTAATTGCGAGCAGCTGGAATTGTATTGAGCTAAAGTTGGGCGAGAAAGAACTCACGACAACACATTGCTCCGACTTGATAGCTCCTTTAGGAACAGTTGACAAACTTATTATATTTTGTGGGAATTGCAAATCATGATCAACATAAGTAACATTCTTAAAAGTTAATGAACTAATTATATTAATCTGAAAAAAATATATATTATGAGAACTGATAGCATGGAAAGCAGTCTTACAGAACCCGCAGATGGGGATCGAAAAGCATGCACGGGGGTTAAAGGACCTATAACTTATGATTTTCATTACATAAGTTTCACAAAAATACCTTTGTAATCTAAAATAGCTCCTAACCGGCTGAAGAAGGATTTTGTTTCGGTCTGACTGAACAATTCCAAACGTACAGCAAAGGGGACCACGAGAGAACGAAGACGATAGAAGTACGAGCTTTCCAAATTATTCGTCTTTGCAGCTTCTTCATCTTCCTGAAGTACACCATTAACACTAACAATATATTTTTCTCCACCAATTCTCCATAGAACTGGATCATCGGCATTGGTTCTGATTGAACTGAATCTGATCCTGGCTTCCCTTCGTCGACTTTAATTGCAAAAGCATTGAGATCAAAACCCAATTTCAACAAATCAACAAGCTGTAAGCGAAAAATGTTTTTTCTTAATAGGATGCATACTAACGAAAATAGGGTTCTCCTCTTGCAATGCAATATGAATAGGGTCTATATACAAGTAGTTTGCTTCAAGATCGTAAGAATATCCAAGAGGGAGACCTAAAACAGGTTGAGTATTGTCTACAGAGTTGTGGTACCTCCTAGAATGTAAGCAAGCCTCTGGCAATGACTACCATTTTTCAGGCAGTAAATAAACTTTTTTACATAGAATGGTGAATTTCTGTCGAGATACCGTCGACTGGCTGGGAGCCATTGGAGTATAGTTCGCATTGTCCTTTTAAAAATATATATGATAGACAAATTAGAACAAAACTTACATGCACTTCGAATGGTCAGCAGAGCAAATCATGGTAGATTCTGATGAGGATGACTCAGAAGAAAAAAGCGTCAAAGATTTGTCAGGCAGCATAGATTGATTGCCTCTGTGGATATGAGGAAGTACTGTCATTGTGGAACATATAATCTGTGAAAATGATTATATATTCTCTATACATACACTTACCGACAAGATCTTGAAAATGAGAGTTTTTCCTTTCAATTTATGCAAAAACTTATTCAAATGGGCATGTCTGAGACAACCATATGAGCAAGCAATATCGAGCACAACCTCTATCTGTAAAACGTTTACGTTCAAGCCAAATTTAAAACTGTCTAACTTGAGAAGCCGATAAGGAAACATCATTAGCATGTAGCTTCTCTAAAACCTGCTTCGCTTCAGGAAGACAGTTAATATTTCTTTGAAAAATCTCCTCGACCGGAGTGGTGTTCTCGGGGACATCGCCGGGCAATGTAACCACTTCAATAGGTCTACTAGATGGTATGGAGCGAAACGGAATCTTCAGGGAAACAGTTACACGAATGAAGGAGTTCAAACTTACAGAAGTCATCAACTTTTGCGTTTTCATGAAAGTTCTAGTTTCCTCGTCGTTGATTTTCCATTTTAAATGCTTCTTAATCAGGATGGTATAGATAGAACGGAAACAGATTCACAAACTTTTGACTTCTTCATGCAAACGTTCACTTTTGTGTTTACACTATCCACAGAACTAGTAGATAAGTAGCTGAAAGGAAAGACTGAGCGACAGCCAGATAATGAAATAAACTTCAAAATGTTACAGATCTTATGTGCGGAATTCTTCAATACTTGCAACGCTTCGTTTTGACACAATCGATCATCCCATACCTCTTTCACACTGTCAGTAGTAGATGCTTCTTTTCTGAAAAAAAATATATTTACAACTTCTGTAGGAAAACAGCTCACTTCATTAAATCTTGTCCTTGTTTAGAGTTAATATGATGAATCAAAGTTCTCGGTGCGGGATCAACAACACTTCTCACGATCGGGAGCTGCTCATTCTTAATAAAAAAAAATATTGAGAGATTAACAGCTCAAAATACTTCTCTACGGAGTGCTTTTTCCTTCTCGAGAGCTTTCTGTCTGGAAATTTACAAACCGTTATCGAACACATAGTATTGGAAACCTCTGCTTCTCCTCCGTTTCCCGGACTTTGCAAGAAATCCTATCAATTCTATCTTTGTCCACATTAGGCAATGTGGAAGTAGTACGGGCATTGATGATTTCTTCGTAACCTATCAACTTTGTCCCCTTCGGTTTTTTCCATTTTTCTTTCTCCGGAACTTTTGCTACATTCTGTAAGATGAATTATTATGTTCGAGGGAAGAAACGAGCAAGCCCTACAGTTCTAGTAGATTTGGATGCATCAATAGCCTCAACACTTTTCGTAGCAACGACTGGAGTCTGAACTTAACTAATACAACCGTACTTTGTTATGAAGAAAACTTTTTTATCTTTTCCTGTTTGAAGGCTACTTTCTCCTTTTTTATTTGAAACATCTTTGAGTTCTTTACCGGCAATCCTCTCCTTTTCGTCTTTGCCCTTAGAACTCAACTTATCTTCGGGCAAGTTGGGTGGCTTCGAGCCTGATCTCGATTTTTCTTTCTTTTCAGGCAATGACTTCTCTTTAATATCTTTCAAAGTAGCATTCTTCTCTTTGGACTTGGTTTTGGGCTCAAAAACATCATAATTATTTTCTGGCTGAACTGATGAGTCGTCATGATTTTTCTTGAAAACCAAAACTAAATCATTATCACTCTTGCCGTCTGCTTTGGAAACCGTGTATTTCTCCTGTATTAAAGTCTAAACCCAGAAAACTCGGGAGCCTTACTTTGATTTTCAGACGTTTGGCCGGATTCTCCTTGTTCATGTCATTGCCATTTTCAATTTCCGGAGCAGACGTTATGACAGGGATTTCATCATCAGAGTTATCCTATTGCGAAAATAAAATTTATCGGCAAACGAGTAGAATAAACTTACAATACTACGTTTACGACTGCTTTTAATTTTGAGTTTCGGAACGGTTTCTGGCCGGGTTAATCTAATGGTATTCTAGAATGAAAGAATGTTGTCTTATATATTGAAACGATGCATTACATTTGAATCGAGATGGTTTCTCAATCTTTCGCTTTCTCGGTTGGATAATCTCTCCTCAGTATCAGACTCCGACTCGCTCTACAATAAACAATTGAGCTTGAACTTTCAAATTTTGTTTTTCACCAAAACTATTTTCTTATTCTTGGTTTTTTTTTTCTCTTTTTGCTCTTCATTTTCTTTCTTGGCAGGTTTCTTTTTTGCCTTTCGCTTATCTTGCCCCTTAAAACGAGGACACCAATGTACAAACAGAAAAAAAACAACCTTCTTCTTCCTTCCTTGAAGCACGTTGTGTAACATTTCCTGCCCACGACCCTTATCATCTATAGGCTGAATTGGAATCTCCTCTTCTAACTCTGGATTATCACCTAAAACTGGGAATAGCTGTTGATAATCTAAGTTGGCAAACTCCAGGGATAGACTGCGATAAAACGAATATGTTGCGATGCAAGGTTCAATTGAGTTTTGTATTTTCTTAATTCGATATTATCTTCCAGATTTGATTCTGGTTCCCAAGTGGTCTCGTTGTAGCCTTCCCATTTGACCTTAAAAATCAACATGGGGATGGCAATAAACTATTTCTGAATACCAGATAAACGTATTTACTGTGCAGATTACATTTTTTATCATCGGGATTAAAACCGATTTCATTTCTTTTTTTATAAGCTTGCTCATATCTGAAAATCTTGCTTTCTTCTAGAGCGCCAACATTATAATAATCATTACGACATGTGAGCTAATATTGATTCAACCTGAAATTCGTCTTCCATTCTTTAAGGTTGTTTATGATTTATCTGAAATAACCAGTAAAGTAGACATACGGTTGATAAAGACCAAGTATAAGTACAAACATAACTGGACATAGACGAGCGATATTAGAAAGGCAAAAAAACAAGGTTTATTCGAAATGGCTATCATGGTTCGCAAGCGTTTCATAAGAGTAAAACTAAAATGTGGTAAAACAAAAATAATATACACACAGGGAGGAATGCCAACTACTAAGGCTCTTAGACTAGACTTATATCAACTAGGATGCTAACTTAACACCTGCAATTATGTTTACTGAAATGAGCATCGGGTATTGCGAGTTCTCGCTATCACCACAACTGGGTTTCACGAACTTCGCCTATAATGACACTGGCTTTGTTCAAAGCCTAAAAAAATATTGAATGAAAAATTTAACATTTGAACACGCCCACCATTAATGTTTCCATCGTTTCTCTTCTTCTTTGGGCGGTGTCTGCAGACTCCGAAAGAAGATCATCGATGAGCTCGGTTTGGTATAGAAGGCGGACCAATTCAGATTGTAAATTATCCTATAACGAACAACGGAACTTCTCATTAACACCCATCGAGTGTCTATTTTCAATTTAAATTTTCACGATACATGATGCTGTTGTTTGTTAAAATGAAAATAATTGGTAGAGGATCAAGTTCACGAGAGAACTTTCACCATGAACAAATATTTGTAAAAATTAGTAACGTACTCTAACATAATTGACCAAATGATGCATAACGGCTTTCGGAACGCTATCTTGAATATTCTTACGAGCGATATAGAAATAACTCTTAATTAGACGCTCTGAGAGAAATTATTATTTCAATTAGACATTGAACTCATGTTTTACCTGTTATAGAGCAATCTCTTTGTTCACTGGAAGTGAGACGTCGAGGTAATGGCTTCTCTGGCACGTCTGGCAATAAATTGACAGCCGGACTTTGTGGTAGAGCTAAAGAAGATTTGAAAACAAAAATGAAACACGATCAAACCACTCTTTTCAGGCTGTTTAGTGCCAAAGAACGAGCCCAAGAAACCTCTAGAATCACCATTGATGGGCATAATCATCTCGGGAATCGGCTCTGGTTTTTCACTCGTCTCCTATATCAAAAAATTAATAAGAACTTATCAACTGTGCTTATAGAGGACACAGCACTCATTTCTAGGAAGAAGCTGACCTTAAAGAAGTCAACACCAGAAAAATGAACTGATTTCACCATTCGCCTATCGGGACGTTTTACGGGACTTATACTCGGATCAGTTCTTCGCAACAAGACTTCGTAATCCTATGCGATACATGCAGGGTACAAAAACACACGGACGACGCTTAGAAATAATATATACATACCTCAGTTGGGTGGGCTGATAATGCTCTTTCTCCTTGAGAAACGGCTCTATTACGAGTTCTGCCTGGTCTCTCATCCAACGCTAACTCTTTTACAAGGTTTGCTAGGTTTCCATCAGGGAAATCAGGATGATTGGTGTTAATATAAGCAAGTTCAATCATTACAAGATTTTCAACCTGAACATTTGATTAAAGAATGAAAGACGAAAAAAATTCACCATCGAATTGGTAGGTTTCAATCTCTCTTTCAGGAGCATACTGACAACTTCATTGATCTTATCGTATAATCTCGGGAAGCGAGCCATTTCTTGCTGAAATAGCAGAGTACTGTAATAATTACTTCAAACAATACCTGAGTTGTTAAACCACAGTGCTGAACCATTCTCTGCATTTCTTCATGAACTAATTCAACACATCTTAAACTTGGCTCTTCCAGTTTTTGAATTTGACGCTTGACAAGAAGTTCGAACGCAACAACAGGAACGAACAAAGGCGGCCTAGGACCCTAAACACTGAGAGTAGAAATGACGAAAATATGAATATTGAACTATACCATAGAGTTTCTGATAGCAGTTAAGATGTCCATCGTTGTTAAGCTTTCCATAGCATTGATAGATTCAAGAGACTTCCCAAATGTTTCGTGGAATATGTAGAAAATTCTGGCACCTCCACACCTGAAGAGAATGAATGTGAAGATTGAGATTCAAACTTCAGTCTACAATTCAGAAGTTTCAATTTTCGTGGACGTTCCGTCGATTGTTGAAGTATACGATGTTGCAAATCTTGTGATAATTTGAAGAAGAGTTCTGTTCTTGTCTTCTACAGGTTCACCAAATGCAGCAAGATCCGCTTGGCATTGATTTTGCATCATGGAAACCCGATTTTTCAAAGCAGGTAAACAGTTTCTAATATGATGCATGAGCAGCTGAAAATCGGATATGAAACGTCCGATAGGATAATGATTACCATGTTCAGTCTTTTTGCAAGATAAAGAGTGCCATTTCTGCTAGCCAAAGTAGGATACTTCTTTTGGAAGAATGATTGTTCTTCTTTGATAGCCTCGAGAATCGGCTTTTGATCTAATATAGATTGCTAAAAAAAAATTGAATAATGAGAAAGATTTCTTAATGAATACCTGAGAACGATTAACAACACCGATAATTCCTAGCTTGATGGGAATAACATTGCCCATTAGCACATCCATCGCATCTGTACCTTGGTCCATCAAATCTAATTTCGTCAAAACTGCTAATGTTCTTTGGCCTTTAATACAATTTATAAGCAATTTACTATTTCCGTCGTATTTTACCATCTTTATCCACTTCGCGTGCCAACTTCACAGGTTCCGAAGTGGCAAAATCCTGATTTGCAGGGGTAACAGCGAGAATAATAGATGAGGGATTTGAAATAAAAGAAATAATCATGTTACGGATTTGATCCTGAACGAAAGCAATACATATCCAAAATGGAAAGTATGAACTCTACCTCAATATCAACAGGTTGGTCACCAATTGGTACTTTTGTAATACCTGGGAGATCGACGAGTGATAAGTTAACAACACGGTGTGAATAAATTTTTAAAGAAATAGGCGCTGTTGAGATTCCTTTGTTAGTTCCAGTAAGACGGTCAGTTTCTTTTTCTATTTCTTCTCTAACTTTATCGAAATCCAGATATACTTGAGATCCAGTATGTTCAAAAGCTGCCCAATCATCTTTCAACTCTTTACCTAGCAATATGACAAAATTGTTAGGAGAAGATTTTACAAAAAAATACCATCGAAAACTCTTCTTCTAGGATCGTCAAGAGGGACATGGTTCAACTGAAGAATTAGAGGTCTCCTAGTAACAATACCAGTACCGCGTGGGAGAAAATCTCTTCCAACAAGGTTCTCTATTACAGAACTTTTTCCAGAGCTCTTGAATGAAATAATAGAGATAAAAATATAATAATCGCATTACCTGTGATCCTACTACAACGATTTGAGGTAGTTGAATGTGGTCTTCACGTCTTCCCAAAGAGGCAAAAACGTCTTGCAATTTGTTAATAACAGGAATCAAGGATTCCATGTTATTCAATAACTCTTAACAGAAAAAATAAGATTTGAGTTTTAACACAGCTTATCAAGAGAAAAGTTACGCAATACATTAGAGACCGCTGACGCGTTTGAAGACACAAGATTATCATTTCGCAAGAAATGACTCAAGAGATAGTTTTTAGTCTTGCAAGGTTGAGAGACAGAGAATAAGAAACAACGATAAAGAAGAAATATTTACATAGAAGGAGATACTACAGAATTACATTCAAGTAAATTCCTTATTTCAATCTTAAAATCAATATCCGATGGCTACTTTTGAAAATTGCGGATATACTAAAGGGCTCATGGACGCTTGTAAACGGCATGCAATATTGCACAAATTCTAATAGAGAGAAGGTTGAAACAATAACCAGACAAAAGATCGAAAAGCGTGGAATCTCAATAAAGAACTGTTCTCTATAATAATTGTATATAAGTTGGAAGGTTCCAAAACAGAAAATAATGTTTAACACGCACAGGATAGGCCGCTTCATATTTACTGTCGACTTACAATATATTATACCAAAGAGGTTATGTCTGAGCTGGGAGAACAAGTTAGTAGGAAATGAGATTTCATTTTAATTGAGAAATTCAGAACGAACAGAAACAGTATCCACCGAATCATCCAATGTCAAATGCAGATCCAAACTTTACGTATGATGGAGGAACTTTATGTCGTGACTATTGGCCTGATTGGCTGGCTCAACTTGCAACCAACAATGTTTGTAAGTGTGATATTTTTAATGCGGAACAATAGTTTTATAGACAGGATAAACAATACAATAACTGAGGCTTATGACTTCCTCACACTTGACAGTGTTCAGTACATTTTCACTATTTGCGTTCGTCTTCGATTACCACATGATGTTCGTTTCGTCGCCGCTCTCCTTTTTGATAAGTTAGAAGATTCAGTGGTTGCTTTCTTAAAGATCTCTTATCAGGTTTATGTGTTTACAAACAAAAAGTCTCTGGGAGTTCATTGCTTGTTCTGATATGCCTGTTAGGAAGAAGGAAGTTGAATGGGAAAAGATTGAAACGAACTTATCCAGGTAACTCACATATAGATAGAATGAGTGGTATCCTTACATTCAGACAAATCCCTTTAAGAATAGCCTCTTGTATACAAATTGCTTCAAAATCAGGAAATTATCATACAGTAAGCTTCAGCAATGATGCGACATATGACTAACGTTTTGTAGAGTTTATCTTTGAGACAGGTGGCAAGCTCTCTAAGATCTTTGGGTCATGCCTACACAAAGGGTGCTGTGCTCAACTCGGAAATCCGAATATTGAAAACGATTGGCTTCGCTATTCCGGAAAGTCCACTAATCTACCCAGAAAGCTTGTTAAAATGCTTATGTCAGGCTAGATGTAGCATTTATGATGTAAAACAAATCTTTTGAAGGTTCTGTGCCGTCGATACCTTCTGATTTGGATTACGATTCTTGTTGGAATCACATTGTCTTGTTCTTGGACATTGTTTTCTTACACCATGAAAGAGTAGGAAAAATATTTAATGTGAATTTGAGAGAATTGATTTTCAGCTCTACACATATTTAATTCAAACACTAGGCAGCTCTAGGTATACACCTCAGTGCAGTCGGTCAGTTTCTCTTCACACAAACATTATCTTTTTTCCATAGTTATGACCATGCACGTTTGAAAGGAGATTGGATGTTATTGGGATGTGGCTTGGTCGCAGCATCAGTTGCATGTGTTCATGATGATCAATTGAGGGATAAAGTAACATAACGGCGATTTTCTTAACTATTCTCATTCATAGGTCATCACAACATTGAACATGATGTCTGGAACTCCAGCAGAAGATATTCTGGATATGAGCACAACATTGAAGAAGGTTGGTCCTGCTCTCAGTGTTCTTTCATTTAACGATTCCTATTGAAGATAACACTACTCTTAAATGAAGAAAAGATGACCCAAAAACCTCAACGGACTGTGTCATACTAAATTCTTTCCATGTATTATACTAATAATGAAAAATTCAATGATATATGCTTATTTTTCATCCTGCAATATGCTCGTAAACAAATTGCTGATGCTTACTCAATGCTTCATCTTGCCTTGAAACTCGGACAAGGGTGGGCATAGCGCTCATTGCTCCAAGGCCACAAGCAGCCGTCGTTTATCGATCTTCTACCACACAGCTGTCCTTATCGGGAAAACGTTGAGCTTCTACATGTATATTTCTCCTTCTCAAATGAGCTTTTCAAACTTCATTTATACCATTTCTTATTTGTTTTAAAGTTTTTTTTTCCTATTTTCCCAGACATTCTTCCCTTGCATGTCTAATTTCTTGGAAAACCTTTTTTTTGCTCATTCTATTTTTAAGTAAAGATGGAGGAAGACCGTCTGGGAATGCGTATTCAGTCTGAAACTATAGAAGTCAAAAAAGATGAAAGAGGGTTAGTGGGTATAACCATTGGTGGTGGTTATCCATGCTGTCCATGTGTTTATGTTGTCCAAATAATCGATGAATCCTCCGCAGCTACAGATGGCAGGTAGGCATTAACTGTTTGTACATATGTGAGTGTCCCTTTTCAAGAATAAGATGTGGAGATGAAATTGTTGCAATTAACGGAATCAATGTCAAAGGTGAGAAGAAGCAGTCTGTTGCTTCTCTAATTCAATGTAGTACCAACCCTGTTAAGGTAAAGATGTTTACGAGAGTTAATTAACGTATTAGTTAACTATTTAGATAACAATCAATAAATTGGAAGCTGACTCTGCAAAAGGGAAAACGGTTGATATAATGCTTAAGAAAGTGAAACACAAAGTGAGTAGTACATCAAAAACCAAAAATGCTTTTCTATTTAAAGATTGTTGAATTCATGGATGCTGATTCCGCTGATGCCCTAGGCTTATCACGAGCTATCTTATGTAATGATCCCCTTCTGAAGAAAATGAAGGTTTGATCACAAACCAATGAGGAACAGAGTTGATGTTGCAGATACTGGAGAACAATGCAGACTTGTACAGAAATCTTATAACTTTCTTCACAGATTTGATATATTATCAAGATAAGTTGAACGGATGTCAGAAAGGTGAGCCTTGATCACATTCAAGATTGCTCTGCAGAACCTTTTCTCGAGCTTTTTATCTTTTGAGAATTCAAATTTTTTTCTTTGTTTACTTCTTGGTTCTAGTTTTTGGTGATGTCTTCTGTGAACTAGCAGCTCATGAAGCCCAGCAAAATGCTAATGAAGTTTTCTCTGTGTTCGGAGATGTACATAGACAAATTGAGAAAAGACAGGTTAGGCTGAAAGGATTACTCGCTAACTTAGTCAAGTTCAGAGCGAAACGATAAAACAGTTACGTCCAATGGTTGCTGATTTGGAAACATACGTTAACAAAGTTATTCCTGACACTCAGTTAACAGTGAAAAAGTATTCCCCTAGTGTTTTTGTCCTTCCTCATCAATAATTCAAACAGATACTTGGATGTAAAATATGAATACCTATCCTATTGTTTGAAGCTTAAAGAGTTAGATGACGAAGAAGCAGAGTTTCAAAGCGTGGAAGAACCATTGTACCGTGTTGAAACAGGGAATTATGAATATCGGTAAGTATACGTTTCAATAACTTTTTTTGAGTAACTTTTGAAAGATTGATGCTTCGATGCCGTCAGGAAACGCGTCAGAAGTTTATCCAAATGCGCAACGATGTTATTGTCAAAATCGAACTCTTAGATCAGAAACATGGTGAGTTTATCTGTAAAATTAGTTCCAAATATTCCTATAATTACAGTTCGAGATATTGCTACTCACTTAACTAGTTTTGCAAACATAATGAAATCGTGCCAAGGAGATTGTTCAAAAATATTAGAAAAAACAGTCATGTCACCTATTGAAATTGACTTGACAAAGGTTCTTAGTCAAATGAATTCGTATATTATCTTTCTGACTTCAGGTCTATGTTCATCAGCAGAAAACAATTGCGACGTCAGAAGAGCCCGTTGAGTTCGTAGAAGAAGCTGTGGAAGCTGATTTGAGTTCTGACCTGAACGTCCAGTTGCTCACACTTGATGATGAACCTCTGAACTGTGTAACTACCGATTCTACTTTCACTGAGCCTATATCATTCCCCCAGGCCGCTGGACCTAACGATACTTTTGATCTTATAGATATAGGATAGTATTGTAATTGTTGTTTTCATTCAAATGCGCCTTTATCTAGCTTTAGCTTCATATCAGATCTCATTCTACGGATTTTATGTAACAAATTTTAAGTATTTTCTGTAAATAGCGTTTTGAAGTCTATTCATTTACACTTTCAAAGAGCATGACGTGCAAGTCTTGTAGATATCTTCTCCATTCCATCAATTATTGCTGTCAGGAGGGGGCGTAATCTAAATAATGAAAAATGTTCTAGAAGAAAAAATAATTAACAACCGTTCGCTGCCTGGCCCTCCATGTAAATGACTTAACGACTCAATTGCAAACTGTTTTGTTTGTTCATTTTGATCTGAAATGTATCGAAGACTTGCTTTCAGTTCAGCTTGTTCGTCTTTCGTAGCGGGAATGGTCACTACGGGAGAGAAAGCTGGAGTTGCCTGAAGAAGATTTCAGAAAACATCATACATCTGCAAACCAACATAATGAGGGGAAGGTGCTAGTTGTTGGGGTTGACGGATAGGAACATTCTCATAACTTTCTATGATCACTTTTCCTGAAGATCGGTATCTATCAATGACCGATAACATCCTTTTCTTAGGACCATATGCTACTCCCATTTCATCTAAATCCTCCAAAAGAAATAATATTCAAAAAAAAAACTCGGATGTAGTTCACCTTTTCAGTTAACGAGAAGAATAAGTCCAAGTCGAGGTTTTCTTGACGTAGACGAGGATAATATCGACCCAAATTCATTCGTTCTAGTAATTCCTCCAAAGTATTAGGATCTCTTGCAGCCGAGGGTTCTTGCAAGACATGATTATAAGTTAAAGATATAAAATTAATTATTACCGACTACAAACCCTCCGCCTGTTGAAGACTCAACACGATCTTTCTTTTTTTCTCTTATTAGTCTCAGAACTTTGGAATTCTCAGCCGCTAGAGCGATACCGTCTTCTCCCCGACTGTTTTTCAAGTGCACGTTTCCACCCTTGAAATAAAATTTTGTTTTTGGAACAAAAACTGTTCTGACCTTTTCTAATAAACTGATCAATGTTAATTCATGACCGGAAATGCATGCCTCGAGTACAGGGGTCATAGCTTCTTCATCTGTCGCATTAGGATCTGCTCCTGCTGCTAAAAGTAGATCAACAACCTGAAGATAATTTAACTCATAGTGACGGAAGTAGATCTATACATCATTTTGACTGCAATTGGCAGCATAATGAAGAGCTTGTCGCCCAAATCGGTCAGCTCGGTCAGTGCTCGCGCCTCTTTCTAGTAAAACTTTGACAACCTATAACATAGTAGTCTAGGTACTATTTTCAAATGAATTCTACCTCTTTATTTCCACAAGCAGCAGCGAGCATTAGAGCGGTTTGTCCTCTGCGATTGCACTCATCAATCTGAAAAATTGATGCATAGTTTTTGAAAGTGGATGCACACCTGAGCATTGTTGTCTAACAAAATCGTACAAACAGGATGATGCCCCAAATAAGCTGCATATAAAAGTGGGGACCAAGAAGAACGGTTTTTCAAGCTGACAAGGTTCGGTTGTTTTCCTATCAGAACCTAAAACTGCTTATAAACGTTCATCTAATAAGTATCTATACGGCAATCAGCTTGGAATCACCAATGCTAGCAGCTGTGAAAGCATCCATTTCAAAATTTGTTTCGACATGGAGAGGAGGCATGGGTCGGCTGAAAATCTCGCTTACAAGTCCTGTGCTTGGAACTTGAGTTGGCAGTGTGGGGAGATAAGCAACTCCTGGTCTCTCTTCGGAGAAACGAACTCTTCCAGACATTTTTAAGCTAAGATTAAGATGTTTAGAAAAGAATTGAAGATAGAAGCAGCAAAGTAGTAGATAAACAACAACTTGAGAATATAACCAAATGAAGATTATGATAGTTGTGATCAATAACCGTCTCGACTTGTGCCGTATCGATCAATAGAAACCTGTTTCTTCTTTTCAATCTTGAATGTGCTAGTTAAAACGTAAATTAGAAAGCAGCCTCATCAAGATGAATTGATTTAATCTTCATTTCAAAAATAGAAAAAATGTACAAAAGTTAAAATAATCAAAATGAGAAGAATCCATTAACGCCAGCAGCAGAGTATCGTCAGAACATCTCTAGACCTTAAAACGAGGATTAGTTTATTATGATAACTGGAATGAAACCTGTGTATTCGCGTATCTACCGATTTCCTCCATAGCCCTTATCAAGCTAGCTTGGTTGAGATTATATGCATGATTATAAAGAAAAAGCATATTGAGAAAGAATAGTAGAACGATGAAAGATGTGAAGTATTGCTGAATGTGCACATAGTAGGCTACCTCCATACTTCAGAGTAAGTCTGTATAGAACTGAATAGCTTATGTCTTACTTGTTCTATCTTAGTAATAATCTTCCTTCTCTTGATTTCAAATGAGAACACTTCGTCATTGAAATGAGAAGACAATTGCAAAATTGTTTTCCTTAAACGTATAAGTATCCAAATAGTTCATTTTTCTCTTTATAATACAACAAGATCATTTTTGATGAACACATCTAATATGACTCAGTCAATACCCTGTGAGCATACTTTGCTCCGTATTCTTTGAGCTCAAGAAGCTCGATGTCAGCTCTGTAAATCTGTAGTAGCGCATTTTCAATTCTCTTGTCATTCAACATCGTATGATGAATCTTCGATTTGATATACTCTTTACCAATCTCTTTGCCAATCCATGGAGTTTTCTGTTCTACTGAAATCACACACGTACAGTTTCACCCATAAATAGTATGAGACTTTGCAATATGCTCCGAACATAGTCCGCCTTATGTTTCGGTACATTATCAAGAAGATAAGCATGGATCTTATTAAAGGTTATCTCTCTCTCTGCTTTGGGTAAATTATACTGAATGAAGGTTGAATTCATATATGTTTCCTCAAAGTTGCAGTACCTAGAATAATCTTTCTGATATATACGTATTCGGATTGAAACCAACCATGTTTGAGGAACAACCTTCAAGAACATTAAAAAGAATTTGTCATTATGGTCTACTCTAGGAGGATACATAATGAAATGTCTCAGCTTCATGACGAAACATGTTAAATCCTTTTTAGAGCAGTTGAAACAGTATTCCGAATCATCTCTCCTGCAAGTGTTTCTTTAGTAGCCCAACTAGTAAGTAGAACCTACATTAAGCAATCCCTCACATATGCAATGATGAATCGAAGAAGTGGCTCCTGATACAAGAATAGATTGTTCACCTTATAACTCAGTTGAATTTTCACATCTTTTATATCGGTTAACTCGTTTTTTCTCCAACATGGCCTGAAAAGCAATGAATGGCATATCTCTACGGCATAACATACCTTTCAGAGGGATGATTCAATTCGAAAGTTGTATTTTTTTCTTGAAAATATTCTGAATCATACAGATAGCAGAACATATTTTCGGCCATGTACTCGTAAACCCCCTCTACAGCACAATATGAAATATGGTATTCAGGTACTATCTGGAAACAGAGATAATCAATGTTACGGGGGAAGTGAAACCCCTCTTACCTTAAAAATGCTTACATACGATTTCAGAGGCTCAAAACGTTGGCAATCTCTACCTGTAAAGCAATACTAAGAGCATGGATAACACCTTCAGATCAAACCTATACATCCACGTATACTTCCAACTACTTTCGATTTCTCACCATCAAACGATACAGGATGCTCAGTAAGAAATTTGAATAAAACTACTACTAAAGCACATAAGAATAGAATATATAGAACAATCCATTTAAAACAGTAACGATTTCGAAGTAAGAAGCGCCTTTGTAGTTCAGTAGCTGCTAATGAATATTTCGGAGAGAGCATCAGCTACCCACTTCCGAGGCTTGCGGTAAATTGAAAGAAGGAACAACGAAAATTGCGAACAAGATTTTGCGGATAATACGATTGATAATATCTGAAATTTAATTCGATCATTTTTTAATCGTTATTGTCTTATTTGAGCCCAATATGTACGTTTTCCGTTTCGAATAAGAGTTATCAAGAAGCCTTACTGGTTGGCATATAGGGGATAACAGATGATTCAAACAAAAACTTCTTTATTTCAAACTATCAATCAAATTCAACATATTATAACGAAAAGATGTTAGGCGAACTCATAGTCGGGATAGGAAAGTCAAATATTTCATAATCATTTCTATAGATATTTAACAGTTTAGAGAAAAGTGTTGAGTTGTTCTTGATAAGGTTAACGTACACATTCCTCTCCTTTGAGTTAGATGTGGCGTGCCATGTCGTTGCTCCAGCTAAACCATTGTTAGAACATTGAATGATATTTATCATAAGAACTAACTGTCTAGAGAAGCTCGAATAACTCTCAAATGATCCTTCGACACATTTTGATTCGCTAATACAGATACTAGCTGTTGTATCATTTTCGTTTTTTTGTAACCTGACGAATAATAACGAAGGAATATCGACTTCTTATACGTGGCGCCCATATTGCAAAACCTGTAAGATTTTGAACTAATAAGAACTATATACAATGATCAATCATTTGGTTTCTTAGGTAGAAACCCAATAGAATATCATTGCCAGACATTGTCTTATGGAAAGGAACTGTCTCAAACAGCGAGATGAGTGAATCCAACAGAAGTTATTCGTTTTGAGTATTTTCAAAAACTCACCAAGTATACGGACTCATATGAGCTAACTCATATTGGTAACGACGCGAATAGTTCAAATTTTCATCGACTTGTTTCAAGTTTTCCGCTAACCGTGTCAATACACAATCCATGTAATCTAAACTCTTCAAATCGCAATCGAAACACGTGCCCTCTCGGCAAGCTTCGCAATTTCCTTTCAGAAAATCGAAAGGCTCTCTGGAATTGAGATCAACCATTGGTTCAGTTTTGCGTAATTTCTTTTACCCTATGCATTTATTCATGAAGGCACTCATGAATCTTGTAAAGGGTTCGCGAACAAGTACTGTGATGTTATATCCGTTAGGTAGATGCTTGTGCATATCGTTGAAAGTGAAGAACTCATTTTTGTGCTCGCAAGCTCTTGAATAGAAAATTTTAATTTTCCTAAGAGATATGAATAGAACCTATGTGTCCACCATCCACTTTGAATGTCTCTTCCAGCTGAGTTAAACGCTTCATAATTGTACAGGTAGCAAAGTACATTCATCAACACGGTTGACATAACTTTTGGAATTTCACAATGTGCTAACTTGAAGTCATTCGCTATTTTAAAGGATTCTGTTATTCTTGCAAAGAGTGTTGTGCTGTTTCCTGGCATATCTGTGAAGAGAATCATGAGATTGAGATAAACACGACTAGTAAGCTTACCTTTCTTCTTCAACGCTTTCTCAATGTTTCGACGTACAGTATGAGTATATTCCATGACTTCATCCATGTTCAAGTCCAGTTGGAAATATATGTAGTAACGGATCCCCGCGATTATTAGAATTAAAGCTGAGAGAGAGCAAGCTACATTGAAATGCTTTTTCATAAGTCTCATCATGTACACGGCGAAAACTAAGGAAATGAACTGTCGCTCTCGCTCTTCAACCGAAAAACCATCTTGACGGAAAAACTTTCAATCTAATTACATGTGTTTATTATCTGAGATAATCTGGATTATTGCACCAGTTCGTCGAATCAAACGTATAAGAAGAGAAATTCGAATATAAGGAAGTTATTGAGCTAGTTCATAGTCAAATATCACATAATCATGGTAATAAATATTATTTAAAATAGTTAGTAATGTCTGATTGTTTCTTATTCTCGAACTAATTTCTTCCTTAACAACTAATGCATTCCCTGAGTGCTTCCATGTGATCTCATCTGCTCATAAGCTTTAACTTCTTTTACAATTTATAGAACATACCTGTCAGAGATTGAGCCACGAAGCTTGCTTTCTTCTGAGATGTATTGGACAACCTCAATATGCTGGCTATTTGGTTAGCCATGACATGGCGATCATTTCCAAAGATACCATGTCTTACGAAAAACGCTTTCCGATAAAACGTATCCATCTTGCAATACCTAGATATATTTCTATCTTCAAAGACTACGGGTTCAAAAAACATCGCTATACCATGTTATAGGCGCAAATTGCGAAATCTCATAGTTAAAAGTCCTCGGAGATCTTGAGTTTGCGGTCATTTCCTTTAAGGCTTTCTCTAATTGTTCAATTGTACAATGTAGATCATTTCTGGGACAGTTGAAACATGTTTCATTACGTACCATATTACTTACACTGCAAAAGAAATATTAAACAGGAGCTCTTAATAGAGTTAACACAGCTGTGTGCAAAAAGCTTGGGCGAAATTGAAAAAGAAAGAAGTTTTAACACTCACTAGGAGATTCAAAACTTATACATGAGCATTTCACTTATATTTGTTATAAATAGTTTCTTTAAGACTTACACGAGGCATTTAGTAACATAGTTACTGACAAACCGCTCGAAAGGATCTCTCACAACAACCAGACCTTTGAAATTGAATTCAGGAAACACTTTTTCTAGGCTTAAATAATCATTTAGTTCGTTTCGTCGGCGACAGGGTCTGAATGAATTTGTATTATTTGAGTGATAAGTAACCAACCTCAAATCCATCCAACCTTCCATTTTAACAGATTGATTTTCAAAATATTCCTCCGAGTCGTATAAATAGCAAACCAAGCTTGTCATTATGCTAGACATAACCTCAGGGATAGGACAATACGCCAATTTGAACTCGGGAACAATCTAGAGTACCAAGATAACAAACTGCTATGGAAAAAGTATATATCACTTGGAAATTTTCAGAAACTGATTGGAACGGCTCAACAAACACTTTGGAATCTAAGAATTGACGAACATGACGAGAATTAACTTATAAGCTCACCTCGCCTGCTTCTTGCAAGAACAATGTTCTGTCGTACAAGTTTTGTATAAGAGGAAACTTCATCCAGTATAACTCCAGACTCATGATTGTAACGGAAAATGTATACAAAATAAATCAGAATACAGACGAGTATAGTATGTGGAATATAAGAGTTAAAGCATCTCCTATGAATTGAATAAATATACTTCATTATCAACTTTCCTAAGCTTTGACCAAGTACACCTGCTTCGTCTGGGAACGATGAACAATCGAAACTTAAAAGCTAGGGGAGTTATCGCTTGGGAATCATCTTTTCCGAAATTCACCTGGGAAAACTATAATATAGCAAAGACAACCCTTTTAGGAGAACCTATACATAGAACAAGATCACTTCGAAACACTTTGAAACAAAACATGACTTTTGCATGGATATTCAGTCTTTCAACAGATGGTCTCAATGATAAAGTTATTAGGCGCTCTCTGATCTCTAGCAGATGTATAATCAACTTTGCCAGCTTATGAAGAATCGTAATGAAATAGAGAAAAGAAAACTTTCAGTTTTAAAGATGAAAGTTCAAGAACTACAGTGAATCAAAACTATTTTTATGTTTCTTTGATTGAACATTATTTTAAAACTTCTCAGGAGAAATAACAACTGCAATAACAACTAAACAATCAATCAACAACAAGCTTAACGTATGAGGGGGAAGACATTATGAAACAGTCACCGGATGCACGATACTACGGAATTCAAGGGATACCTATCCGAACGCATTAAAGCATAGCATCTTGACTATTAGGCGAAAGAGAAAACAAACATTGAATTTAGAATATAAAAATTGCCATGCCTATTTCTTATTTTTGATTTTTTGGACCAAGTATTTAACACGACGTATGCAGGCTTTCTTGCTCTTGGTTCCAACTTCAGTAGAAATCTGAAACATTTTCGTGAAAACATATCAGTATGATCTAGTGACCTTGTCGAATCTGTCTGGATCAGAAGAAGGAATTTTTTTCAGAGCTGCTTCCAATAACTTTTGCTCATCAGGAGTCCACACATCCTCATCAGGCAGAGCAGTACCTAATGTGTTTTGGGTGGTAGACGGGAGCTTCACAGCCATTCCTTGAACAGCTTTACTCTGGAAAGTTGTACATGTATGTATTCATTAGAAAAACAGAACTGACTTGTTTAATAACTTGCTTTTCATTTTTTGGTGGTAAACTTTTATCTTTTCTGTGTTCGTTTATATAATCGGCAATTTGTATCCAACGATCCACAGTACCCGCGGGGAACGTGTTTGAAGCCTGAGAAAGATCGATGATATTGAATTGTGGTGAACCGTACTTTGACTAAGAGTTGAATTTCCTCATTAGACCATGTAGCAGCTTTCTCAATATCCTTAGACTTGTCCTCCACTTTGACTATGTTCTTTTTACTACCAAAAGTTTTATGATTGATCTGAAAGTAACAATAGTTTTATTCAGTAACGAATGTCTCACCTCCGCTTCTTCGATAGCACTCCGTACCTCATCTTCAACAGATAACAGTTCAATATTATCACATAAATCTGCGATGGCATCCGTGCTGAGAGTGAAACAAATCTGGAAAATCTCCCTGTCTACATTCGAAAATATATAACACTGACTCTCTCGATTCTTTCCATTTCACGTAGCTTATCTTCGCCTGATTCGGCCCAATGCCCGGCTTCATCAGCTAGTTTCTTCAATCGGCGACGTTGGGCATTTGCAGCTTTCTTGAGGAGTTCCTTCTCTTTCTTCTCCCTTTCCTTCAATATATCATAATTTGTATATATCATCAACACAAAGATTACTTTTTCTTCCTTTAACCTTTTCTGTTCTTCTTCTTTTGCTAAGCGTTCGGCTTCTTCTTTCTCTCTCTTCTCACGCTCAACAGCTTCTTGTTTCTCTCTCAAGACTCTTTGCTTCTCCTCCTTCTTTTTGTCTTTCGCCTAAAATATCACAGACTGATATATTTTCTTAATATATTAAACCTCTTTTTCTTCTCGTTTTATTCTAACGACTCTAGGGTCTTTACCATATGCCATCTCTACAAGCTTACGAATTCTTTTGACTTCTTCTTTCCTACGACGTTCTCTTTCAGCCTAAAGGATTTGTTCGGGAAATTACACAGTTAGCTTGTGGATTACCTTATTCTGCTTCTCCATTTCTCTTCTTTCGTAACGATCTTCTCCTCTCTCCTTATCTTCCTCATCAAGATAGGAGAACTCTCTCCAAGATTGGAAGTCAAACCAGAAGTTATAGAACTCAATAACATCATCTCGAGGAGCATCAAGTTTGCCAAGCGATGGTACAGGTTTCTTACTAGACCACCTGAATCGAAACGACAGAATAAAATGTTATATTATAGCCACGATCACCTAGCGTTTATCTCGAAGATGGGAGCTAACTCCTTGAAGAAGTTGTCCTTGTTTATACTCTTTTCAGTAGGGATAGTATCATCGAATTTGTGATCAACAGAGTCATAGGCCAACCTTTTGGATTCGGACATGCCTAATTGTTCATATGCCTGAGTAAATAAATATTTCAACTGAAGGAAAGTGAAACATACCTTTGTAATACAGGTAAAGTATTCTTCGGATCCATTAGGAAGAGTTTCACCTCTGTGCTTCTTTTTATCAGGGTGGTGCTTGAGTACTTTTCTTCTATCTGCAATGAAACCATCAATAACTAGAAAGAAAGAAAAACTGACAGCAAGTTCTAATATCAGCCATGGTAGCCTGCCATCTTAATTTGGACAATCCTAATACTTTGTAATGATCTTGATTCTTAGTATCATTAGGATTTAACTTAGTTAAATATTTCCAATACTTTTCGCCTTCGTTATCATACAATTTGGACCTATCAGCATCCTCCTTCAAGAGAAAAATCTAATAATCGCAAAATGAAAAAAAAAACCTCATCAGGACTAGGACTTGTCTCGAGTTCGACATTTTTAAAAACTGGTAAAGTGTCCTTCCGGAGCGTTAATTTATCACGGACTAAGCTAACTTCATAGGATAAACCTGCTTCTTCAACAAATTTAGCTCTAGGCAAAAACCCATAAACGGCGAGAGCAAGTGTTTCACTCGCAGTCATCTAAAAAAGCAAGAAGTTAAAAGATTGAAGAAATTAAAAATTGAACGTGAATTTAAACATAATCGTGCTTTTAGGAAAAAAATGTAAGAAAGTGAATGTGCTCCAATGCGAATTTGGGTAAAGAAGATTACGGTAACCCGCCAAAAAAGAAAATTTTCAAAGTTATCAAATCGAAGACGTGAATTCTTCCAGCAATTAAGGTAAAAAGAAGTTTTAACGATGACGGACACTAAGACGAAAGGATCCATCTCTCTTAAAGGATCTGCTCAGCTTGTACAAGAGTTTTTCCGTAAGTTTACAGCTTTTAAACGCTTTTTTAATATATATATGAAAGGTTGCAAGATAAAAACCTCGAAAATTAATGAATTTTCAGATTATGGTATAAATAATATTCTCTACCAAAGAGGAATTTATCCTGGTGATAGTTTCAAACGCGAAAAAAAGTATGGTCTTACCTTATTAGTCACCAATGACTCCAAGTTGCATACGTTCTTAGAGCCACTGTTGAAACAAATAGAATGTAAGTGTGTTTGAGCATAATGTTTATTGTGCGCTTTCTTCAGATTGGCTCTCGAAAAAGCAATTGAAACGTCTTGTTTTGGTGATTTCTGAAATTAAAACGAAAGAAGTTGTTGAAAGATGGGAGTTCAATATCGAAACGGAGGATCTCAACGAGGATGGGTACGTATTTTTTGTAACAGATGTGACCTAAGATGGCTAAAGAGCTATCGATACAATTGATACTTATTTGATTGTTTGTTTAAGTGTTATATAATTTAATTTCAGCGAAAACTCTACGCGACAGAAGGATGAAAAGAAAATTCGTCAAGAAATGGCGGATGTAATCAGGTTAGTATCATTAATATCCGTTAGAGGCACTCCGAATTATGGTCCAAAATAATATCATTTACCTAATTATGCCATTTTTTGTATGATCTATTAGTAACAAAGCGCTTATCTATATTAAGAAACGTACACAGATGGTATAATAGGATCTCCTAATATGCACTCTTTGAATCCCTATTGTCTTCTTGACTGAGCAACTTTTTGTATTAAAATTGTTTTGTTTAGACAAATAACTGCGTCTGTCACATTCTTACCTCTTCTGGAAGAACAATGCTCATTTGATGTTTTAATCTACACAGGAAAGACTACTGAGGCTCCTGAAGATTGGACAGAAAGTGGAGCATGTCTAATCAAGAATAGTGAACAAGTAAGAAATCGTATTGAAGCTGCTCAAGCCATTCGTTTTAGGTGCAATTGAGATCTTTCTCAACTTCTGTACATAGTGTAAATACAAACGTCCAGTACAAGGTTGATTATTAAGAATATCGCCTTGTTAAGCTCTTCTACCTCGTCTACTTATCGGCTCGCTTCTTCTTACGTTGTCAAATATAATTTGTTACAAGTTTCACACTGCACTAAACAAGTTGAGCACCTACCCTGTTCTTACAAGAAAACTCGAAGTCTCATGCCCGAGCTGCTGATCGTATCTTATAGTCGTCTTCTTCGTTCTTCGTTTGTTGTTACCTTCCTTAGTTGTGCTTTCGGTCTGTTTATGAAGTTGAACAACTAACTATTATCCAAGTCAACGAACATAAAAGACAGCTTCTAATTGCTCACTGTGGGAGATCTTTCGCGTTTTGAGACATGTTTTACAAGGGTCATCAGAGTTCAATAGTGTCCTTAATATGGTTTGTATGCGATACTCAACTATTATTTTGTTCATAAACTTTATTAGTGAACCCATAAAAAATGAATTATTATGTACATTGACTTGTTGGCATGTGAGATGGAATCTTAGTAAGTATGTTGATTAGTGGAATAGTAGAACGGCTTGTAATCAGGCGAGGGAAAACACTCGGAATATGATGGAGAGGGATCACTTTGTATGCTTCCTTCACAATGATTTTCTGGTTCTCCTTGGGATAGTATACTGCTCAAGTATCGGATATAACTGGAACAAGAAAATATTAAACCTTGAGTAGCTGGTTAACACTTACCCTTGGGCGACTCGGAGTGTTTCAATTTTTGTCATTTTTGGTTCGTCTGGTAACTGGGGAAGAATTGTACGAAGATGCTCCAGGGCATCGTTTAAACTATTCATTCTTCTTCTTTCTCGAGCATTTGCCTGAAGAAATTAAAATGATATTACGAGAGTATTAATTGAAATATTACCTTATCTCTACGGACAACTCTGGCACGTTCAATAGTGGCTGGACTACGTTTCCGACATCTATATCTCCGTTTTTCTCGTTTCTAGAAATAAGTTATGAAATATAATAACATGAATTGCTTAGACTTACCATTTCTGGAGCAGGAATAGATTGACTAGGGCAAGAAGCGGGATAGTTGTAAGTATAAAATGATGGCGAAGTCATAGGTGAATTCATTTCACTCATGTTGAATGGAAGAAGTTTTAAAAAATTCAGGAGATGTGTGTATGCACTCTTGTATGAGCTCAAAACTGACTGATTCAACTCTGGAGCTGGAAAGGGGCGGTCTAGTGCGGGTGTAGATGGGCGTGGCTTTTGTACTGCAATTCTGGAGACAGTTCCTGGGTCAGATAGCTTAAATTGGATTATTGCTACTTTCGAGGATTAGTAATGGGAGGAGATTTAAAGAACAACCTACAGTTATGCTGTTGTTTCTGTATGCTGGATTACGTCAGAGGTCAATAGGTGTAAACGATAACATGACCGATGAGGTTAAGCTGGTGTCTGGGTAATATATAGTTACTTTTGAATTTTGAGAATGCTAATTAGCATTAACTAGTTTCTTCCAGCACTTCATATATTTTCACATTTTCTATGGATTCATGAACAGCTTTCTTCTTCTCACCACAAACAAAATAACTATTCTAGCAGGAGGAAAATTATTGCAACCGTGTCTTCTTCGCTCGCATGAAAAATGAAACAATATCGCACTCGTATTTCTACGTGGACCCACGTGACGGAGGGAAAACATTTCACGGTTAGCTAATGTTCATACTCCCTTTATTCGGTTTGGTATTCAACTTAGCATGTCGATCGGATTTTTTTCAGTGATTCCTATTTTTAACTATTCATATTAAATTTTATTTCATGAGCAGCAGATCTTCATTTATGGGCCATCTGGGTAAAGTGACGTACAAGAGTAGTACCTCATAAGGTGCCGGTTTTCCTACGGCATTAGTTGTCCTGCTGTTCAAAATGCAGCCACCCCAGTTTTTTCACATGGTTATTTCCCTTAGTTTGGCGGTAGCTTTTGAAGCACAGGTGATGGTACATGCTTATCTGCTTTGCAATAGTAGCAAGAAAAAAACGTGAATTAGACTTCATTCGACGATTTGGTTGTACTTGATTTTGTCAAAACAACAGAAGATACCGTCACTTAGGAAATGTTTTGAAATTATGCAACGAAAACTATGGGGTCAAGATACACAACGGGTGTTCATGACTTCCAACCTTTCCGATCCATCATCTCAAAAACACTTTTAAAGCTTTACGTCATGTCAAGATTAGACCACTTCAGCTTTGAAGATGGATCACCGTGGCATGACAGTCTCTACCTGTAGGGTCAAGTGTTCACAAAGGTTGTTAACATATCGCTTACAGCATGAGCTCGATCAAAGAATACAATAGTAATTAATGACAAAAAGTAGGCTGTGAATATATTTTAAAGAATCAACAATAACCCATATGGTGAGTTTTGGGAAAAGGGTGACAGACCACAACATAGGGTGTCATACGGTTAAAAGACATCATGCACTTGAATTTTACAGTCTTTATGGTTATTAGAAGCCATTAAAATGTCGTCGAGATGTGATTTGGAAGTATGATTGAGTCTTTAGGGAAATGGAAATGTAAATCATGGAATCACCAGCTCTAAACGGTCTACAACTGTCGCGAGAATTTATAAGCTTTGCTGTTCCTTATCGAGGTTTTATGTATCAAATGAGCAAATAATGTGTTTCGAGGATATCCTATGTCTTATCCGATTTTTTTCTAATTCGGATTAGAAAGTAACAATTTTTGAGCTAATGTTACTAGTTTATTGGATTAGCAAATCAGCTTAGACGTAATACCCACCTGTCCCATGTAAGGTGTCCATGGACTCAATCCAATGGCTGTAATTTCATACATTCTCCCCTGTTAGCCGGTCAATCGAGATGATGCAATTCGAGGACTGTTTTATTAAAAGGAATTACATAAGTACACAGTAATTGGATTAATTGTCCAAATTCCATATGAATACGAAAGATTCAATTGACAGATGGCAAAAATATCAAATTATTCAACGAGATCCAATTCATCTTTTAATTTATGTGTTTTTTCTTGACTTCCAGTGCTGTTTGAATCATGTCTCTACACAAAAGAACTCAGTAGCTCGGGAGTCAAGTTCTGAATCGTTAAACGTATCGCTTTTCTTAAGTTCTTCTTCTCTCAGCGATCTCAACCATACCTTTGATGGTGCATCGTGAACTGAAGTTTTGTTACAAACACTGTTTGATTTCTTGCTTTTTACGAGCATTCAAATTCTCTATTCTTTATTCAAGTATCGAAGAAACTGTCGACTAAGTCTTAAAATGTAACAAAAATACCAAATTTCTATTATTTTATTTTATTCGCCGTACGTCGTCATTATCTGAAGGTAATGCTTTTTTGTCATTTGACGGTTTCTCTAAATAACGAGTACTGAACGATTCGTATGGTGCTCCACTCCATAATTTTTTCATCAAGTTTTCTTCATAATCCAGAGAATCGTTAATACCCATGAGGAGAGGATTCTCGTCGACTTCATCCCATCCTTTCAGTAAATTCAAAGCTCTTCCGTACTCCTCATTTGTGATAACCTAAGTATAACCAGATCAGTTATGTTATCGACTATATGTAGTTACCATCTCGTCAGGTGGATATAAGCCAGCTGCGACGTACCTGCTTTCTGCATTCAGGAAGTTGAAGGTGGCAATGGCATCTTCCTGAAACCGTGTCTTACTCTACTTATCTCATTTAATCTTACCGTGTCCATTATCTCCAAACCTATTTTATGCTCTTTCAGAAATGGGTGAACTCTTTGACGAACTCTAAAAACACATAAAGGAACACGATTCTTTTGTACAGAACATACTTGTCAATGTTCTTCTTATCTCCAACTCCCAGAACCAAGATGTCAATTTTAGGTTCTAATGCTACGAAAAGCGACAAAGAATCCGGAGTTATATCATTATGCGTTGGAACTCTCCATGATAAAACTGTTTTGGGGAACAGAGCAACTGGACCGTATCTAAGAGAAGTCAGCTTTGTTGAATTAAGACTGAGCTATACTTACAAGAATTGGCCATCAATCATTCGAAAACCATAACAGGAAAGACCTCTAACGCCAATTTGTTTTGACTCCAACATTTCACTTGATAGCATAGATACCCTGCTTCTTTGGCTCATATCACTATCGCCCAAAGGTGTTATGTGAAATCCATCCAGTACACCTTCAAATCAATGCATGTTATATTTATACTAAGATTATTTCTAGTACCTGTATCACCTCTTGAGGCCTCTGAGAAAGCTCTAGATATTATGCGTGATGATTGAGAGATCAACCGAGAGGATAAGTTCATTTCTACAATCTTTTATGATATAGAAACTCAGGAACCAAGTACGTATCGGAATGATACCGAAAAAATGTGAACAAAGATATAGCAGAAGAATTTTTTATTAAAACTAAAAGCTCTATTCTTTAAGAATCACAATATCAAGTACACGAATCACTGTGGAATGCTGTAAGGCACGAACGATATGGCAAGAAAATGGGAAAAAAAGTAAAACGAAATTATACAGGAGTTGCTTTCTCACTCGGAATATTATCAGTCACAGAATCTTCAAAGATTTCTTCGTCTTCTTTCACATCCATAACTACTTTCTTCATGTTTGCTGGAACTTCCTATAAAATATAGAAATTCACTAACTGCATGGAACTCATACGCTTTGCCAATCAGGAATCGCCTTCGGCGCACCGATAGGAGCGAAGGCATCTCGATTAACAAGCAAGCTGGTGATATTATTGATTCCTTTCTTAAAGCACAACTATTTACTTTTAAATCAATCTTTAGCAAACCTCCAAAGAAGAAATGTCCACTTGGGTCTCAGATAATTGAGTGAGTGCTTGTGTTGTTTGCGACACACTGTCCAGAACAAACTTCATTGAATTTTGCAACTCGTTAACTTGAGACTGTAAAGATCGTTTTACGCTTCTCATAGAGCAAGGATAAGTGAACCTGAAGCCTTCTCAACTCCAAAGAAGCGGGGTCGGGGATATCGAAAAACTTGGGTAGTACGTAAGATCGTAAGAAGCGATATCCCGCGTACGAAACACTTCCAATCACTAGAACAGATTGAGCGAACGAGGTAGCTCTGCAGAAAAAATTATCCGAAGCTGATTCAATAAATAACAAACTTATTGTAATTAGATGTAGGAAGTGGATGGTATATATGATCACTCTGAACAGGGGCACTCAAAGCTTGTTCGGGTATTGAAGCTCTGGCTTCGGAAATTTCTGCAGGTGTGACGCCTTGAACAATTAGCGAGGTTAAATTGCTCTATAGAACACAATCAACCTTTACTGATGAGAAACTGTCTCTGTTCTTCAAATGGAGTACTACGCACTTTGTCTGTGAGCATGAACTTTCGAGCGGCTTCGACCATTTCAGGTCGGTTTGAGGATTGATCATCCACCATCTAAAAAAGTGTCTTATGAACGAAGTGAGATGTAGGAAACAGATAAACGAAGGAATGAACTCTTCTAAGATGAACCCAATCATTAAACTATCACATTATTCATAATACCTGTGTAATAATACAACCAGTAATACTATTTTTCTATACATTTATACAGTAAATTAAATTAGATGAGAAATAAATTATTGTAGAAGTTTCTTAAGTATATCTAGGTTCTTGTACAAAGCGTCGGAGAACTGAGCAGCGTCTTTTTGTGACTGAAATTATCGTCAAACATATAAGACAAATTATTGATTATCGGCTTACTTTATGGCTTGAAATCACAGCTCCTAATTTGGAAGCAACTACATTATAGCCGACGCCGAAACCATCTCCTACAACCGGACCGAATCCTGAAAAAGAATTAGGAACTCGAAGAGAGAATAAATAAAACCTCCGAAAACAATAGTTTCAGTAGAGAGAGTGCTGGTTGAAAGGACGAAATGACCCATTCTATTATATCCAGCATCCTGAAAATCTGGAGAGATGCAAAAGAGCTCAAGAGAAACTGACGTTGTAGAATGCTGGAAGATCTTTTCCTAAACGTTGAGCACTGATCTTAAGACCAAGTAAGTGGCGATCGAAACCTTGTCCTACAAAAAATCAATTACAGGACGTGTATGCTGGAGTGATTAGTATGATATCAATAATGTTACTCAGATAAGATAGGAAAACAAACAAAATAACTAACCCATAGAAGCTTCCTTAACTAGTTGACTGTGGTCATTCGAACACTTCTTTAAAAGTTCTCTGACATCAGTTTTTCCCTGTTCCAAAATAGCTAAGGTTGCTTCACGAGTAGCAGATGTAGCAGATCTTTGTGAGAATAGTCAAAAACCCGAAATTTGATAAATGAAAACCTCATGCATTCGGTTCTACCCTTGAGGAAAGCAGCAGTAGAACATGACTCATAAGTGGGAACAAACTCCTTGTAAAGTGAGTAGAAGGCCATCTAAACCAATTTTGATAAACTCACTGATGGAGAGAGAGTTTACCTGAATAGCCAATTGCATTACCGAATCAGGAGAGAGTTTGGTTTTCTTGATCGTATCTCTATTCATTCCAGGATATTCCATCGTAGCAAAATCAAGACCTTCATTGGCTTTCACATGAGTTGTTTGAGCCGAACTTATCGTATTACGGATCGAATCGGTCAACTTGAAGTCTTCGAACGAGATATTTACAGGATTCCAAGTAAGCGCTTACTGATCTCATGCACATTTCCAGGGTTCACAGCCGAGGGAGCATCATCAGGAGAAACAAAATGGTGTTTGCACGTGTCTTTGAAAGATTCTTCCATCAAACGGAGAACAGCAACACCATCTCCCCAAGAATGCTCAAAATTAATTGTAGCTTGCCCATTGCCTAAAACAACTCAAATCACAGACCAATTTCCCAATTGGTATTAACCATCTACGATTAGCTGGAAACATTTGTCGAACCAACGATTTTTTCCTTCGTCTCCGATTAATAGAGATTTAACAAGTCTACAACCATTTTTATTTTCAAAACACGAGAACCGCAAACCTTTTGTGTTCTTCAGTTTTCAAATCGTCTAAGCACAGAGCAAACAGAGCTCCATCAACAGCACGGAGTTGTTCATGATTACCGGCATTTTCTAACTCTAATCTAGTTGAAGCCCATTGGTTTCTTTCCATGGTGGTCAGAGAACCTTAAGTGTTATAGATACACAGAATAAAAAACCAATAGACTTACCAACACAATCTTGGGGTTGTTGATCAGTTGCAGTATTTAGGATATGAGCGAGAGATGAATGGATATCAGATGGAGGAAGGATGTTTCCTTAAAGAAATAAATTTTAAAAATAAGAAAGTGTTATAAACCTTTGTCATCGAAAATACGAACTGAAAACAGACGTCCTTTGTGAATAGCGAGGAAGTGTTTAGCACTGGAATCCTGAAAACCATAATATTCAAGGGTTTGTGAACGATAAAAGTACTGTGTAAAGAACATCTTTTCCTTTTGTTGGGATACGGTTGCCATTGAATAGGGAGCCATACTGGCTCATATCCAATGGAAATGCTTTAAATGCCACTGCTCCGAACCATGATAGACTAGGTGGTAAAGTCCTATGATAGAATGTAAAGACCAAGAAATGAATAATTATAAATGTACTTGCAAACTTTTCGGAAAAATGGGGTATCACTCTTCTTAGGATTCATATGGAACACCTCGGGTCCCAAAATATTAGCATCCAAGGACTTCTTGAAACGAGCGTACGATATCGCGAAATTTGTTGCACGGCTTAGCTGCGAAAGTTTTAACTCAGTAATGACATCAAATAATATGATACCTGATGATTAAAACGAGCATCGTGATCAGGAGCATACATCATAAAAGGATTGAAGTTCACGGGACATGGTACTCGTGCGCTCAAATACATATCAAACCAAGGATCGGATATGTAGCTCGTGGTTTTATGCGCTTTATCATAATCCAGCAAAGCTTTCTGCAGTTCTGAACTCACCTAGGTAATTAGTTTAAGAGCATGAAAGATTACCTGGTCCATCAGTTTTCTCAAAGTCTCTTATTGCTTTCTCTGTACCGGCATAATCACTCTCAGAAAGAACAGGCTTCGCACTGGCCAAATACCTGAAAAGGAGAGAACTATGTACTACCCTAAACAGTGTGACGCACCTGTTTACTGAATCTTCGAGCTTAGGTATTGGTAGTCTTCGAAGACTTTTTTGGAAATGATATGAGGGAATTTCACTTCTCTGGAGGAATTGATAGTCATCGCCTGTCAGAGTAGAAGAACTGAAACATCTTGAGCATATGCCGAAAAAAAGAAAAAATTACCTGCGATTGCTAACTCCACGGACTACACGAGTCAAGGATAAAGCACGATCTGCTCGAATCATGCCGCTGTATTCGAGTAATATATGAGCCAGAAACGGAAAGACAATAGGAGAAACTGCGTTCACCGAAGATGTAGAATGATAACAACCAGAGCTGATCAAAGTACGCGGAACACGCTCACTTCTCTAATTTCTCTATGTCACAGACACTGTCTCGTAGGTCGCAGTATATCGTCCACCAAAATTTCAACTAGCAAACTCCTTTCGCTTTCGTCATTTAGCTTTACATTTTTCTTAATATTATGCATAATTGTGAATAAGAAGTTCTTCTTTGTCTTTTTTATTCTTCAAATTCACTTTTTGTAAGTCATTTCTTATTCTAGATCTCAATATGTTCCGTATGCAACAAGCCCCTTCTGGTCCCGAACCAATTAATACTCGCTTTGAAATTGTAAATACAGTCTACAATGATCCATTCAAATGGTAAGTGTGTATTATCCATATGACCAATCGTACAATTCTTATATTTCAGGGGAATTTTCAAAGGATTACTCGGATTTGCTGCAGGAGTAGTTATCGCTAGAAGCGTTAGTGAAGAGTGGGCAACTGCTGTTTAAGTCTTTAATAGTTTAGTCATTGTTGATTGTTGGATTTTGCATAGATTATCAATACCGTAATAATAAATTTTCTTTTATAGTCATAGTCTCGAATGCTGGTGTTCTGTGAAATTTCTTCCAAATAAGAAATTAATATGAATCGATATATGCAGATAAAAAATAGTTGCGATCTTTGTGATCTGAAATTACGATAAAATTTCGATATCGCCATTGGGCGGAGCTAAACGTCGTACCCTTTCCCTGTTCTCAGGAACCGTCTCTACTTCTGTGACTGAAGGATCACTCAAGAATGTTCATACTTACCTTCTATGCCCTGACTGCTGTATGCGGAGTTCTATTTCTATACACAAGGAGTAAAGTTGAAAACAATGATGATTCCTTCTTCAAAGGCTTTCAACGTACATATATTGTGGTATATTTGATGGCTGTTGGTTAGTATATAATTTTTTTCATTTCTATAGTTTCTCTTTTGTTTCTTTGAATAGTTTTTTTGACTATCATGTTGCTCAGATGAGCCCTTTTTTCAGTTTGAAATTTTGTGAGAACGTGTAGTTTATTCAACCACTCTGTAACGTTTTGAAAAAAAATTGAAAAATGATCAGTTCGAGCTCGCGTAGGTGAGGTTACTTGATTATGTTTGACTCGCATATGAGAGCTAGGAGCTGAGCTATTTTGTGCTCATTACCAATATATCGATGGATAGGCAAGCAAATAGAACTCTATTCTTGATTTGTCTTCCTTTGGCTAGCTGTTACTCTTGTGTCCCTTGTTTTTGTTCTCTGTATTTAGACAGTTGTTAAGGTACTGAATAGACGTTTATCCATAAATCGATTGTTAGTGTATAGAGGAAATTGATTACCAGAATGAAGTTTGAATAACGTGAATGCTTTACAGCCGGCGACTGGCTCCAAGGTCCTCATGTATATGCTCTCTACGATTCTTATGGAATGTCAAAGCACCAAATTGAAATACTATTCATCGCAGGCTTTGGATCCAGTTTAGTCTTTGGAACAATAGTTGGATCTTTTGCTGATAAATTGTGAGTAGTATATCCATAAACAGTTAAATGAGAGGCAAATCTGATTGCTTTCAGTGGTCGAAGAAACAACTGTATCATCTATGGCCTTTTATACGGAGCATCATGTATCACAAAGCATTTCGCTTCTATTGAGATCTTGATGATTGGAAGATTCTTGGGTGGCATGGCCACAAGCATTCTTTATTCAGCTTTCGAATCCTGGCTTGTTTGCGAGCATAACAAGGTAAAGCTATCCCATCTCTTGTTAATATCTCTGGCGTTTGATTTAATCGAGATCATGACTTGGTCTAGCAATGAGGCTATCTGAAAGATCTTTCTTTCGCTAATAGCAAGATTTGAGGAAACGCAATGAAAGTTCTTTGTTTCAACTCTTTTTCAGAGAGGGTTTTCCGATTCCCAATTAGGAATTGTTTTTTCTCATGCGGCACTTGGTAATTCTTTAGTAGCTATTGTCTCTGGTGTCATAGCTCAATTCGTCGCTGACCAATTTGGATTTGTGTCAGTACCTTATGATCATTTCATGAATATACAGTTTCTTTATTCTGTAGAGCTCCTTTCGATGTTGCTTTAGCAGTTCTTGGACTCATGTGTGTTGTTCTTATGAACACTTGGCCTGAAAACTATGGAAATGAAAATGCTGCTGTGCAAGAATCTTTTTCTAAAGCTATTGCAACTATTCGATATGGTTCGTCTTTGTAGGAGGGAAAATACATATTACATGAAGAACTGTTTATAGATGTAAAAATTCTTTGTTTGGGTCTTGTCCAATCTCTTTTCGAAGGTTCAATGTACGTTTTTGTACTTGAATGGACACCAGCTTTAACTCAGGTATTCAGTGTTTCATGCTTGTTTTCTCGAATCTCGAATTAAGGCCGTGAAATATGAAGGAATATATGACAATATTCCTCATGGATATATTTTCGCTGCTTTCATGGTGGCCACCATGATGGGCTCTTCCATTTTCAAGGTTATCTCCAAATCTTCACCACCTGAAGATTTCATGAGGTAGAAACAGTTTGACGAATGGTTTTTCATCCTCTCTCTTCAGATATGTTTTATTATTAAGTGCTTTCTGTCTATCCGTGCCAATCATGGCACCAGATAACAGTACTCTCATCTTCTTGTCTTTCATACTGTTCGAGGTTTGGTGCTAACTTGGAAATAATGTTATACTGTTTACTGTAAGGTTTGCGTTGGTATTTTCTGGCCTGCAATGGGATGCCTGCGAGGAGCTTATATCTCTGAGGATACACGATCTACTACTATTAATCTATTCAGAATTCCATTGAACATTATCGTTGTTTTCATTTTACTACAGGTATTCAGAAAAATTGAATACAAGAAGTAGAAATACTTTCTTTCAGAACTTCTCTATGATTGCAATTTTCAAGTTCTGCGTTCTTTTCTTGTTCTTGGCTGCAACGGCTCAGCAATGCCTTTTCAGGTTGGTCAAGGGAAGCAAAACGGCGGAATAGTTCATGTTAACAGTCCCACGTGTATTGAATGTCCTTGTCATACCTATCAGCTTAATCTGTACTTCTCACCAATCAGTGTTAATATTATTTATATCAACCGGTGAATTTCAGTTGCACTGTGGATAACATACCAAAGAAAGTCATTTCTGAGATTTTTTAAAAATTTCTTCGTTGCTCCTAGAGATAAGAAGAAATCTTTTTTCGTGGTATTCTATCAATTGCCATCAACGACGATGTTTGAAATCAAACACAGTAGTTCGTTCACTCCTGTTTTAAAATATAGGAAAATAAATATTTATTGAACTAAGCCTATGTTGTTGTAAAAATCAATTTTACTTTTTTACCAGGAAAGGACAGACATCTATAATATATATGTCCTTTCCTGAAGAGGTGAGATGTTGATCTTGATCCGAAGCACTGAACTGTTGATGTGAAAACTGGAATAGGATGTACTCGTTAAACCCAACTCATAGTTGAAGAGGGCAATATTTTTAAACAAAGAAAATTCATCTTTTCACTTTTGAAATCCGAATTTGGAATAGAATAGGAAAAAGATTTTCAGATAACATCATAACATCATCACATTAATTCATGACGCGATCATGTCTGGATTTGTGTATGTAGCAGTTCATCAATGACATATGTAATAATATATTTGAAACATCAAACTAAATTCGAACATGCTCTGATTAGAGTTTCTCTTTGATTGTTTGACTTTTCATTTGAAACGTAGACATCATGGTCATATGGGCTATGGAGTCAATGAGTTCAGTAGTTTAACAACTGTTCAAATATAGGATATATAGATCAGGAACACTTCTCTATTTATTCACTTCTTCACCAATGAAGCAACCACAAGTCCGGCAGAGCTCCGGTCTCATGAATCCAACTTTATCGGTCAACCTTCAGGTCGTTTCTCGTTACAACTTTAAAGAGAGTTCATCAAAAATAAATATTTATTAAGTTCAAAACTTCAATGAGCATGGGGATGATATTAAGTTGGGAATATTAGTAAACCAGAACAAATCAAAACTAGAGAGAACATGAGATAATCGGAATCTTCGTACGAAAATTATTGGCAAAAAAAAAATAATCAAACAACACTATAATACAAGCACCAGTTATTTGTCAGAAAAGAGGATCGTAAAATGGTAGTAACTTTTGTACAACGCTTTAATGGTAGGAAGAAGCTTGATTGGATGATACAGAGCTGTCGAGATCGGTCTCCAATGTCGTTGATGGTGTTGAGAAAGTGCTTTGGTTGTGTCTATTCTATAATGTTAAAGGATAGTTTTCTTATAAGTGCATTTATGAGCCATACGTCTGGTCGGCGATAAATATCGGTCGACAACTCTCCACCACTTTCTCGCGATGAACCGTCGGAATTCCTGGAAGGTGGAGGCATACCGTATTCCATAATCGGTAAATTCGATCGCCTCTGTTTTTGCTGAAACCATAGATCAGAACAACTCCTTTGATGACGTTTTCAAACCTTCACCGAAGCAAAACTATCGACCGATCGAGCAACATCATATTTGCTTCCCATATCTCAAAATATTATTATTATTATTATGCATTCTCATATATCAAAGGTACCAGGAATCTTATTGGAATCCAAAATCCAAAAATCAGTGGGAGCAGCTGACGGAGGAATTGTTTTAGAGATCTTCGGAGTATTATCGAATCGTTTGGTGTTTCTATTCCTCCATAATAGGCATCCGAATATAATATTGATGGTGAAACCTAGTGTTGAACAAACTGAAAAAGAAGAATGAACAACTTCTGAATGGAAAAATAAACCTGTTAAAAATATGCATAGAGCATATAAAATATCAACATCAGCTGGTCTTATGCATTCATCATAGTGTTGAGATCTCGGTTCGAGTGTTGAAGGCAAAGTGGACGTCGAAACTATTGATACGTTCTGTGTTTTTATTATCTCTGTAGAAGTAATTGGCACATCGTCTTGAATAATACTATCTGAAAAAACAAAAACTAGTCTTTATTTTGATTCTCACGTATTGGTAAGCAGTTTCCGTGAAACTACACGTATACGAGTAACTTTCATTTCGTAATATCATTCACTCGGAACGGTTGTTCATTCCTGCAAGCTTAGTTCAGAAATATTATTCACCTATTATAGGACGTCTGAATGCTTTCTTGTCCAAGATTTTGATTGTGGTACTAACATCATCAACATCCGAGTCAATTTCCATAGTTGTTGTTTCTTCTAACAGCTTTGGTATTTCATTAGATGTCGTATTACAGTCGTAATCCTTAATGATTTCTTGTTCTTACTGGTACTGAGAACAAAATAAAACCTCGCAACTGCCGTCACATGTATGAACATCACAACTAATCGTCATAAGGTTGCTGGACGGAAATCGAAACATTGAAGGAAATGATGAAGTGAATCCAGATGGTCCCCTGACAAAATCTCCAAAAAGTGCTGGAAACACAGAGCATCCGCGGAAATCAGTCAACTAAAGAAGATTTATAACTACTGCAAAAGAAACTTTTCAAAAACCTGGACGATCTCTTTGTCATCGGCATACGAAACACATTTGCCAACGGTGAAATCTTTTGATCGGTCAAAAGATGAGATACGAACACTATAAGGTGAAGCATAACGCACTTCCTGCAGTCCATAATTGTCGTGATCATAAACCTCCAAGTGATAAAAAGAAGAATTGAGGCTGAATGAAATCACATAATTTTGAAAATATGCTCCCATTACCTAGTTGCTGTTGAGGTTGAATTGTTTGGAGCTCGACAGGAGATATTCAGAGCTTGGTCACTATCAATGATTAAAATCGGATGTGAATGAATATCAACAGTCATTTTATAGGTATCATCGTCTTGGTTATACACCATTCCGCATTCTGTTTGATTGAAAAATATTTTTAGTACTGACAAGTTCGTGCCGATTCCTTTCGTATAACAACTCTCTAATGATGAACTTCTAAATGTTTCCTTTAGATCTATTTTTCATTCTGACGAATTTACCGAGCTTTGATCAATCCTTCGAATGGTGTGGTCGTTTGAACGGAAATCAAAACAGCAATGTCCGTACAACTCCATCGGACTGAAAAACACAAAATAAGAGGAAGTACAAGATAATATAAATTACCATCAGGGGTGAATGAAGCAGCTTGACAGGATGATAAAGTGGCCAATAGAAGTAGAAACTTAATGAAAAAATTACTAAGAGAATGCATAAGAAAGCTCACATGACAGTAGAATGTGTGTTTGGACGATAAGAGTTTGACTTTCATATCGTTCGCATATTTCGCTGAAAGAAGTGTTTATGAAATAAAAGAATATACTAATTTCCGCTAATTATGTGCTTAAGCAAACAGTTTAAATACATAAATTGTTGGAGGCGGATGAAGAGAACCAGAAGCAAAGGAGAATACGATTTGACGTGAAAAAAATGAATTCAAAAGTGCACTTCAGGCCAACAAAAAAATGTGTTTTGATGTGAATTGTGTTTTGAATTTTTAAAAATAGAAAACGGATGTACTTTCAGGCGTGTTGATGATTAAGAGGAAACTATTAATTTCACAGTTTGTCAATGAAGATGAGCGGCAGGAAGATGTGGTGGAGACGTGTGAGACAATGGATATGTCTCAGAAGTTTTGAAGAACTAGCAAGTGGAATAATATAAAATGGCAATGTTGAAGTTATATGTGATGCTGGTTAACATTGTAATATCCGTGTTGGTGTAGAAAAAAAGTAAAAAAAAAAGTAAAATCTAAAGAAAATAAGAGATAAGTGAGAATGATTGAGGATTAATAGGATGAGTCACACAGACAAAATAGAATGCGAGGGTTGTGAAACAGGTAGAGGGAGAATGAGAGAGAGAGAGAGAGAGACAAGGTGAGAGAAAGAGAGGAATAGAGATATAATGATTAAATGATTGTCTCTAAAGTCTAGCAGCTCTCTTACAGTTTCGTTTGAGTATTATGAGAGGACAAAGGAACTTTTGATGAAGTTACCTCATTCGAGCGCCAAAGGTAAATGACCTTTGCTTGATATGAGAATTTCGAAGGGAGGAAGGACTCCTTGGTTTCACCATTGTTCCTTTCCCTACCACCCAAAACAGCAATTTTGAAATCATTAAGAGCTTAATGCAAATAGAAAATCTAGACATATTTAGGAAGAAAAAGTAAACGAAGGAATGTTTTTTCTGGGATGAGAAGTTATTCCGACCAAGCGAATACAGCAAGTTTCCAAATCAAGAATTTGATTTCATGTTAAACCTTACGTCAGATGATGAATATGTTAATGAGATGTCAGAAAAAGAAATGATGAGAATGATGTAAAAGTAATGATAAAAGATTGTTAAGAAGTAAAGAAAAGAGTCAGAAAGAGCTCAACGAGTGAAAGTGATGGGAAGATGGCAGCTGCTAATCAAATCCATCAGGGCGCTGGTTCGGCTCATAGTTATAAAATTAAAATTTCATCAAAATTTTCAAATATAACTTGACAGGCGAGGAAAGGTGAGGCTGGAAAGAATAAAAATACTCTGATAATTGTCAGATTACACCGAAAAGCTGCAACGAGGAGAGTAGAATACAATTTTTGAGTGAACGTCATTTTGTATTAAAAATAGGAGAACGACAGATGCTTGAATAATGAGAGAGAGAGAGAGAGTGGAGGAGAAAGTTAGAGAGTGAGAACGAGGTAGGCTTTTGGCAAGTTGCTTGTTACTGAATGAAGCTATGTGTCCTTTTCTTTCTGCCTTTTCCTAGTTAATCTCTCATTCGGGATGTGTCTGTTTAGTTGTCTTCTGGTTATTAGCTGAATAAGTAACAACAGACATACTCATTTTACTGGTTTTTAAGCTGAGATCTGGCATAATGTCGCACTAAAAAAATAAACAAAATACACAAAGAAATCTGGCTAAGAAAAATGATGAAGAGATTGTAAACAAATTCGAATAGAATCATACAATTTCATTAAACTTCTCATATTCTGTGAGACCGCCTCCCGTTGACTCTCTCATGCTCTTATTTTCACCAAAATATTGAGTTATGGCCAGATGAATTACTAAATCAGATTTTTGCGTCGAGTGCTTCTCCCATTTTACAATTACCACTAGAAATTGTAAGCCAAGTGAATCATCAGGGTGGTATCCATCGATGACTTCATCATTCTTCATTGAAAATGGTCAGAATATGCAAATGATGTTTGTTTTTTGTAAATAATACTCAACATGGCAATTTTGGTATAGTAAATTAAATGGAACGTGGTCCTGTGGTGTAGTGGTTATCACGTCTGCTTCACACGCAGAAGGTCGCCGGTTCGAACCCGGCCAGGACCTACGTTTTGTATCCGAACCTCCGGTTAAGTAACAAGTAAAGGCGAATGCTTGAATGAGAGCACAGAACGATTGAACGAATTCTGTTCTAACTTTTCCATGCATAAGGCGCCGTATCGAATGGTGTGCAAATAAATTTTTTTCTCGTTTAACATAAATTCATGAATGAGTGGTCAGTCTTTTGTTATACTTGTTGTAAGAACATTTAGCGTACGATTAGAATTGTTTATGGAAGAATTCCAAAAAAAATTGTTGAAGTCAAGCTTATGCTAGATTACGAATGTTGTTGCTCTGTGAATATTTATGAAAAAAAATTTAAAAGTTGAAACCATACTCTGTATATATTAGAGAGACGAGACTTACATAAAGATGAATGTGATGGATGTAATGAGACATAATAGTTGACCAAACGACATTTTCATACCTTTAGAATGGGATATACGTGTCTCAGATTAGGAATTGTAATATACTTGTCACCTAAGTGTCACTTACATACGTCTTCTGAGAAAAAAATCTGGGAAGAAATAAGGATGTGAAAGAGAGAATTGGGAGAGTCAAATCTATGAGATGGCGAATAAAAGGAAAGAAGAAACTGAGAGATAAAAAGAAAGAACAACTTGCGCAAAGCCTTCTAAAGCGTGACAACAATGGCAGATTTTAAGGTGAATACCATTAGTAAGCTCTGAAAGGGAAAGTTCAGCTCTTCCCTTCCTAAATACTTTTTTCTCGAAAGATATCAGGTTAGTTGAAAACTACGAAAAGCAAATACCCACATCGGGCAGAATAATATAAGTAAAGGTTTGATAATGGCCTTCCAGTCGAATGGTCAAATTTCTAACAAAATTTTGTTTGTTTTGACAAAAGCTAAGGATAGAGTCATCTGTTAAGGCACATCAGCTTCCTTTTCCTATCGGAATGAGCTTTTCCTTTTGTCCTTCATGGTTTTTTGCGGATTTATATTAGATTTAGACACAATGCCATCAGATGGCTTTAGTCGCCTCCTCCGCTAGTGTCTGGTGAGAAACATCTGTTTTTCAAAAGAAAAATATTTCCCCGCGTAACCTTGAAGAATACAAGAAACCAGAATTTGTAAAAACATTTTCGGCTAATAAAGTTGGAAGTTAGAACCTTATGAGCTTAATAAATGAGAAGGTTGTTGCCATATTAATAAGTGGCTTAAGGGGCTTGGGGAAAGCACTCAAAGGAAAGTTTTAACGGATTTTGTAAGTGATGCAATTGAAATGTTGAAAAGCTTGAGAATAAGCTGAAAACGAGAACCAGATGGATAATATGATGATGTGGAAGTGGAAGGAAAAGTAAGTCATCTGGGGTTGAACAATCAGAATACGAGGTCAAATTAGAAATGTATGAAGTTGGCGAATAGGAAGCTGGCAGTAAAAAGAGAGAAAGAGAAGGACTTCTCTACTCTTTAGAACAAAATTGTTTAATATAGAGAGAGGTGAAGTGAGAAGAACGAGAGTAAGAGCGAATTTCCAAATTATGAGAATAAGTGAGAGAGAGAGAGAGAGATGAGAGAGAAAAACATTTTATAAGGGAGAGGTAAAGCTATGAATAAACTATATTTTAGTAATTAAAAGGTATACAATTGGTCAAACACACATAGTAAAATCCACTCGGATACATATGAGACACCTTCTTTTACACATTTCCCTTCCTCAATACTCTCTCAGACTCATGTTATGTTTTCTCTATTTTCTCACTCTTTGATATCCAATTGGTCAGTAGAAGAAAGAGAGGGAGAGAGACAACACCCTTGCGAGCCACTGTGCTCTTCGGGATCTTAATGTAGTCAGGTATAATAGAATTTCGAATAAAAGAGAAGGAGACAGTGAGAGAGAGAAAGAAAGAGGGAGAATGAACAAGAGAAGGAGAAAACGATATGTTCAAACTTCTGTAAAAGAAAATTCTTAAAAGTGTTGATTTTTGCTGGTCAATGGGGGAAGGCAGAAGAAGATGATGGCTTCTGTTTATTCAGCCGTTTACCTGTAAATTCCATGGAAAAGCTTCTGTCAAGTTCATTGATTGGCTTATTTATACGTATAGGTAGTATGTCAATCAAATCAAAAAGCCAAATATTATTGCAAATGCGTGTTCTCATTTCTGGGTTTGCATAGCAACAGCAAGAAGCAATAAGAAGAAGCAGTAATTGCGGAGAAAAAAAGAGGACAAGAAAGGTTGTTCTGATCTTAAGCTTTGCTTCCAATATCAATGAGCATCTGAATTGTTTTTTGATTATCTCATTTGATATTACCAAACTATTAAATCGGAAAAGAAAAACTGGATTTTCCTTCAAAAATTCAAACAAAATCACTTTCGAATGAGAAAAAAAGAACTTTTTTCAAGTGCACAGGCAAAAGATCAATCAAATAAAAACATATAAATTAAGGTGAAGATCAAAGAGATTGCTGAAAAGCTTTTGAGTGTTGAAAACGACACGAAATTCTCTCGAACGCTGTCCAATAACAGAATGAGATGAAAAAAAAAAAAAGATTTTCATAAAAGGTAAAGAAGGTCAATTCAAACGATATGCTAATCACAATGATAGTAATGGATTTCTTTTGTACAAAAACGCATCTGAACAATCTATATAAGGATCAAGAGTTCATTGTCAATTATATCTTTCTGCTAGTAAGGTATTGAAGATGAATGAACGACAACACGTTGTTGAAGTTTTTTTCTTCGTTCCCACATTTGATGAGTGATGAAGGATCATTAATTGCAACGAAAATCATATTAGAATAAATGAAATGAGAGAAATATAATTAACAAATGACTTTTCCTTATATGTCAATAAGCTTTAATCAGATAGCAAAACGAAGAATTGACAGAAGGCTTGTTCATGGAAGGTTGAAAGGTCAGTTGGATGAACAACATTCTCAAAGGAAATCATAAAGGAGAGTAAATTAGAAAGAGATTGAAAGAGAGAGAGTAGAGCTAAGAGAATGAGAGAAAGAGAGATGAAGAAAGAGAAACATAGTTATATAAAATGTATAAAGAGGGATAATGAGAAATAATGGAGAGAAAGATAGAAAAGAGGAAACACAACCGTTCCGAACGCCTTCATTACTAAGAAATGAAGCTGGCGTGATTTCCACGCCGTCGCATATGCTAATTAGATCTCTAGGCGTTATGAGCAAATACAATTTGGATGAGGAGAAAAAGAAAAAAATACTACAAAAGTTTGTCAAAAATAAAGAAAAGTATCGAAAAATAATAAAAAAACAATCAATTTTCAAATGGAAACAGCCGTAGAAAGATGAAAAATGAAGTTTCAACGAACTACAGGTTTCATTCTCTATTTGCTCAACCAATTATGCCGTTCAAGTGATGATTTGACTTTTTTTTTACATTTTTCAAAACAGAACATTTCGAAATTCAAGAAAAATATGAGCAGAGATTAAATGGTGAAGTTTCAAAAAATGAAAATGACTAATGGGTCTGTGTATGTGCATGATGTCTGTTAGGCTATGAGCTGATGTTTCCATAACAACCGTAAGAAGCTTTGATTATTATAATTCAATCAATATATTTTTAGAAATAGCTTATGATGATAGGATGACAAATTCAATTCGATTAACTTCAGTCTTCAGACTTTGATAAAAAAGAATAGAATTTTTGTTTTTATTTTTACACATCTCATTTGTCGGACAGTTCTCAAAGGAGAAGTCCACTCATCAGGTTATTTCTTTCTCTTCATCTATCTCTTTGACTCTCATCATCTTATTCCTCTTATCCTCTGGTTTTGCCCTCAGGCACTTCCAGCTATTGGCCACTTGCTCTTCATGCTTTTAAGTATCTGTTTTTTCTAATGATTATAAAGCGATTGTTGGCATGACAAATAGAAAAGAATAACGATAACGATGAATATTATGAGAATCTCATTAGAATTCAATATGAAATATGAAATCGTCAACATTTCCCGAATAAGGATAGTCAATGTCATTTGGAACAATATGAAATTGCTTGAACTGGTTGAGAAAATGAGGAAAGTAGGACTAAGTCTGACGAACTACGGCATAACCTAATATTATTTGATGGAGAACGTCTTCATTTGAACTTTCTCTCTCTCTCTTTCTCTCTTCTTTATTCTCTTTCTCTCTCTCATATACACTTACTATATCTTTCTTCATAATTTTCTCTGTTTCTTTCCGTATTCCTTATTAAGAGGTATGGATAGCTAATCGTCATCCAATTTTCTTTCTGCAACTCAATAGACTCCCGTCTTCCTTTCATTGTGTGTAGCAGCCTCGCGCTGCTAATTATTACTATTCTTGACTGTTTCCCTGTCCTTGTTCCGGAAATAATCTTCTTTTTTGATTTTTTCCGAAAATCAGAAATTTTGAAACATATATATGAACGTCGGCAGTGCATAAACAACCGCTATGATATGCATAGATAATGAAAATGAAGTTTTCCCAAAGTGCATTTTCTGATTAAGAGTAAGGAATGAGCAGTCGTTCATGATATCTTTCGCTTCTCAAATTCTTTGAATTGTCGAATGAAACAAAATAATTTATTAAATTAAAACGATAAGATAATTGACAGTAAAAATGGAAAAAAACCCGTTAAGAATGAAAAGCCAAAAATAGAAATATCTTGAAAATGTTAGGCTGAAGAAGATAATCCTAGGTTATCAGTCAGAGTACGAACTTCTGAGTAAGGAGGAGGTGGGGGTTGTAAAGATAATGGAGAACTTGTCGCTGTTTGATACGAGGGTAATAATCCGACGTTTGAAGAAACAACGCTTATGTCACTGTTCCTATTGGAATTCGCAGCTCTACGACAAGCTATTCCACGAAGCAAAACAAGCATTGATGACCTTAAACAGATTTTGTTTCATAATAACAAAATGTGTCATTTCAATGACAAGTACCTTCGATTGGAACGTGAAGATGGCATCCACATCATAAAATCATAATTTGAAACATTTCCATAGCCGATTGAAATTCTGCAAAGCAATTCAACAATGAAATCGTTTTCAATGAACTTTCAACAAAGGTTGATGAAACTTTAATATAATGAAGAAAGAGAAAGAAATTACTTTGGTTTTGTCAGTTTGCTCAGTGTGAATGTGCATCCAATGGCAATAATCATAAGAATGAGTATCCCAAGAAGGAATGTTGCATGATCCTCTTGCACATCTTCAGGCTCAGATAGCCATATAGGCTGTGTTGTCACCTTAAAGGAATATCATAAACATATTTATACATAAAAGATGTGTTAAGACATACCAAAGAGTTGTTATATTCCTCCATTAACAGATTTTCATGGCATGGTGGGACCTGGAAGATGGAAAATTGAATTTGTGAACGAAAAAAATCGAAAAATCAAAATTAGATTAAAGATGGAGCTTTGTTTAATAAAAATGAAATCACCGAAGTATTTGTAATTTTGATTATCAAATTAGTATAGATCGAAGATTTTATATTAGATGAACTTACACGTGATGTATCATTAAGAAGAAGAACAAGCTGACAGCAGGCTCTTTTTGTTAAATTCATCGGCTGTTCACACAGATGCATTTTGAGCTTTTCCTCCTCCTCCACGTCTTCTGAGCTTCTGGAATTGTTGGGTGTCTTCTTCTACTTTCCTTTCCTTTCTTCTTTTCCTTCTTCTTCTTCTGAAAATAAGATGAATACGATTAGATTCAATTCGCTTCTTTTTTTTCATTCAGAAGTCTTTTTCATCACTTGCATTTCTCTTATCGTTTTGTTGTTTTGTAAATAAGAAGAGGACGCGAGAGAAAATAAAAAAATATATATCTTATATACGTATAGTTAGAAGTGTGTTGGAAGAGTGCCAACAAGAAATAAACTTCCAAATGTTTCAAGAGCCATCTTAAGAGCGACGGTAGAGAAAAAAAAAAGACAAAAAAGGATGAGCAACACACATACTCACATACACACAGAAGGAAAACTGAAAGATGAAGCGAAATGACGAAGACGAATGAGGTTGAAGATGGGAGAGAATGAAAAGCTCGAAGCTTAGAAGGTACAAGCTTTGTCAGATAAGCTTTCAAGACTCTTCACACCATTGATATTCCCTTGTGTGGCATATCCTTTGACATTTCCATTACAAGAACATCAGAATAGTCAATGACAATCACTAGATGGCATTTCAATACGAATTTTTCTTTGAAAATAGATAAATTACATGTAAAATTTGTCTTTTTTACATTCTCATTCATCCGTCTGCAATCCCTCCGACAGCTTTTTAGAGCTTTTCACAAGCTTTTCATCCCACGAATGGAATGGTCATCCGGGGCAACAGATTTATGAAATTCCTTTCTCACACTTCAAAGAGTTATTAATGGCCACATAGAAAATATTTTTTTTCTTTCTCTTCCAAGACAGAAAGAACTATAAATTGAGAAAAGAAGATGAAGAACAAAAAAAAACGATGTTTTTCTTATCTGCGAACGAAACTAAAGTGAATTGCCTGAGGGCACTGAAATGTTCGAAAGAATGAGTTGAAGCAGAAAGAAGGAGTGATAACTTTTTTTTTCTTTCTTCCACCAAAATGCTCTTCGAAAATAAAGAAAATGAATAATTTCTGTGTCCAAAAATAGAATATTCAATTGCGACTGTCCTCAGATGAGTACGTGAACAGATAAAACTGGAAGACGACTATGATTCGCTGTGAAACCTATTGAAAATTATTCGCTCTAATGACGTCAACCATAATTCTTAAAGAAGATAATAAAAAGAAAAAAGAGAAAATCCAAATGTACTCTCTGCAGATTTGGGAATAGGAAGTTATGAAGAGAGAAACAAAGAGATAAAGAGACAGACATCGAGAGAATGAGATAGAGAGAGGGAGGGCGAGTGATGAAGCAGAAGAGCAATCACAAGGAACAGAATGTGAGAGAAGACGAATCATGAAATCCTTCAGAAAATGATCTCAAAGATATACATTCCCTTGGAACAAACGGAAGACATTGACCAACTTTCGCAGATATGAATGTTCCTCAAGAGCGTTTTTAGTAAATTTGAGAAGTTTTCAAGAGATTTTTTTTGCGAGAGAAAAAAAGAAAGAAAATTATGACTTGAAACCACACGAAGGCATCTTATCCCGAACTCCGCCCAAGCTGAATCTTTTTTTTTCCGTAAAAGGCGATACACATGTCCCCGAGGGTCATATTAATCAGATGAAATCGAGCAGTTTGCATTTGACGTTTTGAATGAAAGAATAGAAATTCTGCCAAAAGATGTCCTTAAAAGGGAATAAAAACAGAAAAAGCCAAAAAGAGACAATTTGAAGGTAATTGGATGAGTGAGCACATCTTTTTTGTTTTTAAAACAACAAAATTCAAACAAATGAAGATCAAGATGAGAAAAAACGAGAGAGAGAGAGAGAGAGAGAGAGAGAGAGAGAGAGAGAGAGAGAGAGAGAGAGAGAGAGAGAAAAAAGAGGGAATAAAGCAGA